AAACATGATTCAGAGAACAAATATGTTGATAAATATTCAGTACTTGATTTTAAAATTGAAATTTCGTGATATTTTATTTAAAAAAAAACTATTTTTTTCGAAAAAGAACTTAGTTTAGCTAAGTCACGATTATTTACAGAGGAAATAAGTTGTTACAGATTACAAGAAACGGCACTGCGCAGCTATTAGTTAATCTTGGCGCTACTGCGCATCGTGACCTTGAAAATCTATTTACCTTGCGCAGTAGCGCTAAGTAAAATTTATCGCTGCGCAGTTACTGGCATCGCATCTCTAACTACACATTACTTCACTAAAATAGTTTCACCGTTATTTATTAATTACCCAAATGTGAATTTTTCGTTTTTTTTCTATTTTGTTTTCAATTATTCTAAAATAAAAAATTCAAAAAAAGAAAAAAATGTTCAAAATTTCTTAAAATTGAATAAATTTGAAAATAACAATTAAAATACACTTTTTCTTGTCTTTATAATTTCATTCTGAGCGTTAAGTGAACAGAGAGAGAGAGAGAGAGGAGCGAGTTGCAGCGTAGGCTGGTTTTGTACACACGGGGTGGCACATAAAGCGGCGTTCATCACACACAATAGACAGCCATGAAACAAAACGGCGGGCCGTGGTCATAAACTGGAAATATGTCAAAGATAATAAAACAATTAGCCATAAAACATAACGACCATGTACATATATGTGATCCTATGCTGTATATATATATAGGTACGCTGCGGTATAAATATATGTATATACAACATGAAAGGAGAAAGATGGAGGAAACGAATATATAGAGAGAACAATAGCATGAGATGCAACAGTAGACAAATGATTTTGTTGTAAATAAAAAAAAAGGAGGAATTTCCAGTAATATTATATGACAAAAAAAAACGTTTCTTTAGAATTTCTAAAAAAAAAAATCTTACAAGGATTTTCAAGTTTTCATTTTCATTTCCATTATTACTAAATTTTTATAAAATTTGTAAGCATTTTAGTATTTTATGTAAAAATTTCTATGTATTTTAGTATTTTATATAAAATTTGTGTTTTTTATAGTATTTTTGCTAAAATTTGTATTTTTTAGTAAAATTCAATTTGAAAATTAAAAATATTTAAAGTTTTTGACAAAAATAACGAGTGATAAATTATAAAACAATTCGCCCTTATATGACTTTGGGACCAGTAGTGATGTATAAATCAACGTCTCACTGCAACATTCTTCGCATATAGCATTGTAATGTCATCCCAAAAAGCTATACAATATATATATAAATTCAGTGGTGCGTTGTCGTTTCACGAAGCTCGGTCGTCATCCCTATCTCATTTGGACGTACATCACTTCCAGTCCGTCACCCTTGCTCTTTTTCTATACTAGATGACACCTTATTCTTCCTTAATTCTTCATCCCTCCTTCTTCTTTTTCTTCTTCTAACTTGACAGAGGAATACAAAACTTATTTTTTTTTTTTTTTGCATAACACTTCAATTTGACATTTTCTTAATTACTTTTCGAAATAGTTTAAAAAAAAAAAAAAACCCTTTTTTTATTTTATTTTAGTACTCTTGGTTTCTTGTTTCACTATGGCGGAAAATAATAACGACGACAAGCATTTGTGGTAGTAGTCGAATCATTTGGATGACAAATTGTGTTGTAAATTTTATATATATATATATATATATACATTTAGAAAAGAGGATAAAATAATAATGGAATTTTAGACAATACAGTATAGATAAAAAATTATTGTGCGCCAACAAAAAACCAAATTTTTGGTTGACTCAAACAAATATTTTGGTTGTTTAAATATATATATATATATATATCTCAACAAAATTTTTTTTGTTGGCCCAACTAAATTTTGGTTGCTCTAATTAGAGATTTTTCTCAGTGTTTCTAAATTTTAAACTAGCATTATCATTCCGCAGCATCATTTTGTACTTTACAAACCTTTTGCAATATTTCGCAGTCAAAATTGTCAACAAATATTTAAAGCAGTAATACAGGGAAAAAAGGAATTGCTTACAGATGCTAACTGATGTTTACTATCGGTTCTATCGAAATTAGTAACCATAGATAAATTTTTTGCTATGACAACGAAAAAGTTTGCTACGATAAACAATATCAGTGTTAATTTTTAAAAATTTACTATCACTGTAAACTTTTTTGACCCCACAGCAAATTTATTCGCTTTCCCTATATATATTATAGCTATAACGTAATTTTAATTTTTTATTTTTATTTTTAATTTTCCAGTTTTAAACAAAGATATTCCAATCCAGTTTGCAAAAGTAAAAAAAAAAAACAAAAAGGAAAACTTTTTTCTTGCTTCAAGATATAAACCTGCGTTTGAAAGATGGATATATATAAAATCGAAGTTGGTAGCAGTTGGTGAGACGTATACACGACTTAAAAAGAGGAACCCTCGCGCGTCTCTCTATACTTCCTTGTAGATTTTTCTTTAAAAAAAGGGAAAATGGAGTTCACCCCTCTTATAGGGAGAACCTTTCTCTCTCTTTCTGTCTCTTAGAGAAAAAGAGAGAGAGAGAGAGATAGAAAGAGTAGTGTGTAGGCTCGTCTATGCAGAGGCACGTAACACACCACACACAGGGGGAGAAACGAGAATCGGGGTCGATCGATTTTTAAAGCAACCGCAATATTTGACAGCTACAGCTTTCGACGTTGGTTTCGGCGCCACCTGTTTCAACCGCAGGAGAAATCAACCCTCCACCTCCTCTTCTTTTTCGTCCCGTGTGAGTTTTCTCTCTCTTGTATTTATATATATATATATATAGATGTCGAAACCAAATCCACCCACACGCATTCAAGAATCGAAAGAGAGTCCGAGAGTGCAAGAGAAAGAGAGAGAGAGAGAGAGAGAGAGATAAATAAAATTTGCTCGCGTGTTTGCTTGCAGAAATTCGCGTTGGGTGTTCTCTGCACCATGCCGGCAGACACGTCGCCAATAAGTGAACATCGGTTGCGTTCTACACCCTCAAACCGCCCCAACAAACCTCTCCCCTTGCCACTATCTCTCTTTCTCTCTCTCTCTCACTCGACCTCTTCGTTCGAAGTCGAAATCCCAACGCCCCCGCATCAACGCGCTATATACATTGGTGGTTCGCAACATACCGCAACGATCCTGGTATTCCATCCCTCGATTAGAAGCCTTATACTCGTTTTCCGACATTTGTGTCTGTGTGTGTGTGTGTGTGTTGTCAAAATAAAACTGTTTTTGAAATACCATTTTATTTTTGTTTAAATTCGTGTTATAAAATTTTTGTGCAAATGCGATATATGTTACAGAAGCTATATAATAGAATTTAATTAATGGATTGTCGATTGTTACAAATCCTAAAGATGGTGATTTTAATATAAATGACAATTCTGATTTTGATACTGATAATACTGTTTATATTGCAACTGATTGTAATTATATTGCTATACTAATATACTGATGATAATGCTATTGATAATTCTGGTAATACAATAATAACATGATTATCATTAGGATCAAAATTTTTCAAACTTAAAATTACCACCAAAATCATTTGTACGAAGACTATTTGCTATTTGATCCGTAGAAATATCTGTAGAATTATCACAAGAATCAGTAGCAGTATCTACAGTAACAGTGTAAACAGTAACAGTATCATTAATAACTGTAGAATCAGTAACTGTATAATCAGTAGGAATATCATCCGTAGCACTACCATCAGTAACTGTCTAATTAGTAGCAGTATAATCAGTAGCAGTATCATTAGTAGCAGTACTAACAGTAGCAGTACTATCAGAAACTGTATAATCAGTAGCAGCATTATCAGTAGCAGTACCATCAATAACTGTATAATTAGTAGCAGTATTATCAGTAGCAGTACCATCAGTAGCAGTACTATCAGTAACTGTACAATTAGTAGCAGTATTATCAGTAGCAGTACCATCAGTAACTGTCTAATTAGTAGCAGTATTATCAGTAGCAGTACCATCAATAACTGTATAATTAGTAGCAGTATTATCAGTAGCAGTATCATCAGTAGCAGTACCATCAGTAACTGTCAAATTAGTAGCAGTATTATCAGTAACAGTACCATCAGTAGCAGTACTATCAGTAACTCTATAATCAGTAGCAATATCACCAGTAGCAGTACCATCAATAACTGTATAATTAGTAGCAGTATTATCAGTAGCAGTACAATCAGTAGCATTACTATCAGTAACTTTATAATCGGTAGCAGTATCATCAGTAACAGAACCATCAGTAGCAGTACCATCAGTAGCAGTACCATCAGTAGCAGTACCATCAGTAGCAGAACCATCAGTAACTGTATAATTAGTAGCAGTATTATCAGTAGGAGTACTATCAGTAACTGTATAATCAGTAGCAGTAGCATAAGTATCATCCGTAGCAGTATCAACAATAACATAATCAGAACCAAAATCATAATTTACATTACCATAATTACAATTTTCATAGACACCATTGTCATTAGCATTAACTTTTGTAAAATTATGTTTTAATGCTAATCCTAATTATTCTACTGATAATGTTACGAATGATATTGCCACCGATATTAATGATAATGCCAAACAAACTTCCAACAATGCTGTTATTGCCAGTACTACAAGATTTGATGATTTTGAACCTAATACTAACCATAATTATTGCTAATTGTTCCGTTAAATTCTTGTAATGCTTTTAATAATTATGATAATTCTCCCATTTCCGATGGCTGTATAATAGAAAAAATATATTAGAGTGTTAATACTAATAATAATTTTTGCTCTACTAATGATGGTGTTATTACTAATACCAATGATGCTAATGCTACTGATGTTCTTGAAAATATTTAAAAATTACAATATACTAATGTTAATGCAATTGCTACTTATACTGTTGGTAATGCAATTGGCACTTATACTTTTGCTAACGCAAATTGGTACTTATACTGATGCTACTAGTGCAAAAGCCACTGATATTAATGCTAATACTAATTATAATGGTGCTATCATTAATAAAAGTTACCAATGTTAAAGATGTTGACGCTGATGCTACTAAGGATGGTATTAATTAATTACTGCAGTGTTAACAGTCATGCTAATACTTTTAAAAGTGATAATTATCTACACGAATTTCAGCGAATGCTAACGTCAAATATGAAGATGCTGATACTACAGATGTTGTAGCTAATACTAAAGATGTCGACGCTAATGCTGAAGATTTTGGTGTTAATACTACGGATATTTTAGCTAATGCTAAAGATTCCATTGCCAATGCTACAGATTTCGTACCTAATTCTAAAGATTTTGTTGCTAATGCTGAAGATTTCAATGATAGCTACAGATTTTGTATAGTTCATGCTATAAATGTCACTGCTTATGCTACAGATGTTGCAGCTATTGCTAAAGTTAATGATGATAATACTACGAATTTTGTAGCTAATGCTAAAGATTTTGTAGCTAGTGCTAAAGATGTCAATGCTAATCCTACAGATGTTATAGCTAATGCTAAAAATTGCGATTCTGATGCTGAAGATGTTACTGATAATGCTACGGATTTTGTAGCTAATTCTGAAAATGTTGCTGATAATGTTATGAATTTTGTAACTAATACTAAAGGTGTCACTGTTAATGCTACAGATGTTGTAGCTATTGCCAAAGAAATTGCTGATAATGCTAAAAATGTTACTGTTAATGCAAAACACATTGCTGCAAATACTAATGATTTTGCTGCTACTGCATTTGATTTTGGTGCAAATATAAATAATTATACAGCATCAACAGTAATATCATTAGCAATTATATAGTTATCATTAGCATTAAAACTAGTTAATGAAAATGATAATTCTGTTAGTTCTAATTATTTTTTTAGCTGCTGCAATTGATTTTGATGCTACTGTACCAATAACATCATCAGCAAGAACATTAATAGCATTTGTACAAATATTATTAGCATTAGCTATTGCTAATAATGGTATTATTGAAATTTGCATCAAAATCAAATACACTAACATCAAAATCACTGGATTTAGTAGCATTGTTATTAATGGAATTAGCATCAAAAATCAAGTACAGTAGCATCAAAATCTGTAGAATTAATATCATCGGCGCAGTAATATCAATTTTAATAAATCTTTGACATCGAAATAAAATGTTACTATTAATATAAATATCTCATCAGCTTTAGAAGTAGTTCATCAAAAAAAAAAAAAAATTACCAAAAACATATATAAATTTGCTAATCTTTGATACAATGAAATATTAATGTCTAAATTTTTTGTTGCCGATCATCTAAACTGAAAAAATTTCTAAAATACCATAAAAATTCTAGTATATCTAAAACTAAAAAAAAGAGAAAATAAAATCTGCTAGTAAAAAGAAATTGCTAAAAGAATTAAAGATAAATTCAATAAAAATGTTTCGAGATCTCTCTCTCTCTCTCTCTCTTTTTTTTTTTCTCTCCCCCAATGCGACGCGACCGCAGTGAATATAAAATAGCATTTAGTTAAGCAGTTATAGTATTTCTAGAGATTAGAGGTTATTAAAGTTAGTGTCCCTGTATTTATCTTGAACGTTCGTATACATATATATACATTTATACCTATATCTATCTTTATATGTATATATATCTATCTATATAGAAATCCTCTCAACTTGGGCGTGTGGGCTGACTTAGTTTGGACGTTTTTCAACCCCACGGATCTTGTGGGTCCCATATAGCAATATGAATAACATGCTATTATACGTGTCTGGACGCGAATTTATATATATAAGAGAGAGGTAAAGAAATACACATTGAAGAAAGAGTAAACTAAAATTGAGAGCCTTTGACCATTGGTTTTTATTGAGAATTAATTTTTAAAAATTTATCAATATACCGCAGGAAAAAAATTACACTCCTATAAAGAATTTTATGTAATTTATTATATTGAACTGTATTGTATATATAGTATTCTATAGTATTCTATAGTATTCTATAGTATTCTATAGTATTCTATAGTATTCTATAGTATTCTATAGTATTCTATAGTATTCTATAGTATTCTACTGTACTCTATAGTATTCTATTATATTCTATTGTACTCTACTGTATTCTACTGTATTCAATTGTACTTTACTGTATTCTATTTTATTCAATTGTATTTTATACTACAGTATTATATAGTATTCTATTGTATTTAATTGTACTCTACTGTATTCAGGTGTATTAAATTGTACTCTGCTGTACTCTAATCCTATAGTATTCTATTTTATTTTATTCTAAAATATTCTATAGTATTATATTGTATTTAATAGTATTCAATTGTATTCTGTTCTTTTATCTTATTGTAATATATAGTGTTCTGCTTTATTCCACTTGTACTCTACTGTATTTTATTATATTATATTGTTTTGAGTTGTACTCTACAGTATTCTATAATTGTATTCAATAGTATTATGTTGTATTCAATTATATTCTATTCTACAGTATTCTAAAGTATTTTATAGTATTCTATAGTATTCTATTCTACAGTATTCTATAGTAGTCTATAGTATTCTACTGTATTCAAGTGTACTCTATTGTATTCTATTATTTTATATTGTACTCTACTGTATTCTACTGTATTCGATTGTACTTTACTATATTCTATTTTATTCTATTGTATTCTATTCTACAGTATCATATAGTATTTAAATGTATTCTATTGTATTTAATTGTACTCTGCTGTATACTATTTAATTCAATAGTATTCTATTTTCTTTTATTCTACAATATTCTATAGTATTCTATTGTATTTAATAGTATTCTATTGTATTTAATAGAATTTCATTGTATTTAATAGTATTCAATTGTATTCTGTTCTACAGTATTCTAAAGTATTTTTTAGTATTCTTTTGTATTCTATTCTACAGTATTCTATAGTAGTGTATAGTATTCTACTGTATTCTATTCTACAGTATTCTATAGTAGTCTATAGTATTCTACTGTATTCAAGTGTACTCTATTGTATTCTATTATTTTATATTGTACTCTCCTGTATTCTACTGTATTCGATTGTACTTTACTATATTCTATTTTATTCTATTGTATTCTATTCTACAGTATCATATAGTATTTAAATGTATTCTATTGTATTTAATTGTACTCTGCTGTATACTATTTAATTCAATAGTATTCTATTTTCTTTTATTCTACAATATTCTATAGTATTCTATTGTATTTAATATTATTCTATTGTATTTAATAGTATTCAATTGTATTCTGTTCTTCTATCCTATTGTATTATATAGTGTTCTACTTTATTCCATTTGTACTATATTGTATTCTATAATTGTATTCAATTATATTCTATTCTACAGTATTCTAAAGTATTTTTTAGTATTCTTTTGTATTCTATTCTAAAGTATTCTATAGTAGTGTATAGTATTCTACTGTATTCAATTGTATTCTATAGTATTCTATTATATTCTATTATACTCTACTGTATTCTATATATATCTAGTATATTCTATTTTATTCTATTGTATTCTATTCTACAGTATTATATAGTATTTAAATGTATTTTATTGTATTTAATTGTATTCTATTGTATTTAATTGTACTCTACTGTATTCTGGTGTATTAAATTGTACTCTGCTGTACTCTATTGAATTCTATAGTATTCTATTTTATTTTATTCTACAATATTCTATATTATTCTATTGTATTTAATAGTATTCAATTGTATTCTGTTCTTCTATCATATTGTATTATATAGTATTCTAATTTATTCCATTTGTACTCTACTGTATTTTATTATATTCTATTGTATTCAGTTTTACTCTACTGTATTCTATAATAGTATTCAATAGTATTATATTGTATTCAATTACATTCTATTTTACAATATTCTAAAGTATTTTATAGTATTCTATTATATTCTATAGTATTCTACTCTACAGTATTCTATAGTATTTTATTGTATTCTGTAGTATTCCATAGTATTCAATTCTACCCTACTTCATTCCATAATTGTATTCCATAGTATTCTGTTGTATTCAATTGTATTCTAGTATTCTGCAGTATTTTATGGTATTCTATAGTATTTTATTGTATTCAATTGTACTGTACTGTATTCTGTTCTATTGTAATAATAATAATAATAATAAAAATAATAATAATAATAACAAATTGTAATATGCTGTTCCTTTTTAACTTAAGTTCGATAAACGAGCTCGAGGCGATTATATAGACTCGTGTTCACAATTTAGAAAAAGGTTAAATTTAAAAGTTCACTGATGCTTTGGGCGAATCACCATTATATACAAGGAGAGGGTGGGGGGGGGGGTTGTCCGACGGTATACATATAATATTCAATAGATGCGCGCTCCTCAAGAGGCAAAATCTTATTCCAAGAAGCCAATATAATTTTTTTCTTTTTTTTTTGTTTTTATTTTTTTTTTAAGATATAATGGAGCACTGAATTGGGATATAACGTGTCTTAAATTGTCTAATGAGTGACCGAAGGGTACTCTAAATTCAAGGTCAACTCTATTTTTTCACAGAAGGGACGCGATCATCACTTTAAGCGTGCACCCTCAACGAAATTCCCCTTTCTAGGAAAAAATAAATCTCATTCGCAATTTTTTTTTTTTTTTTTTTTTAGTTTTTTTATTTTCCAACTGACCCCAGAGAGACCTGTGACCAGAAGGCATAATAATAATAATAATAATTTCTCTCTAAATTCTCCTAAAAGAAATTTTTTTTTTTTAAAATTGTTTCTTTAAATAAAAAAAAATTTTAGTTTTAAAAATATAAAAATTTGGGGAAAAAAATAGATAATGTAAAATATTATTATTTTTTGGATGAGAATTAATAATTTTTTTTCTTTTTTTTTTTTTTTGAAAAGTTTTACCCTTTGTTGTGTATAATTCAAAAGTTTCAATAATGATAATTTTATTTTATTTATTTTTATTTATTTATTTATTTTTTTTTTTTAACGAAAATTGGTTATCATTAGAAGAATTTATTTTCAAAGCACACCTTCCGCGTAAAATGAAGTTTCGTGTGAAACCACATGAATTTGGTAAATAATACACTTTTTTTGGGCAATTTATTGACATTAAATATGTCCCTTCCGGCGCACAAACCACAAGAATCTTTGGCATGTGCTACGCGATTTTTATCATTTTTTCCCAAAAAAAAAAAAAAATCATCTGCTTCTGAACATGCGAATCTGTTATTCTTCATTTAAAATTAAAAGAAAAAAAATAGATATTGAATTTACCTTTTATTTACAAATATATAATATATTTATTAAATTATCAAAAAAAAGAATGAAAAGGAAAAAAAACATATAGAAAAGAGTAAAAAAAAATTTTTTAAATATTTCCATTTTACATTTAAACAACAATATACGTATTTTTTGTTTTGGAAAATAAAAAAAAAAATCTTTATCTAATCTTTGTCTTTTCAAAATGGTACAGAGATGAGGGTATTGTCGTTTTTCTTCTTAAAAAAACAGAAGATAATGTTTTTCGAAAGGTAGTGATGAACAATGGAAATAAAAGAAAACAACGTGCACAATTCATATTTGAATTTTTTTGTATATGTATATATATATATATATATATATATATATATATTGTATACATGTATGTGGTATATATACAGCCACAATGAACCGTTGACCTATAACTTTTCTTTTCAGAAAAAAAAGAAAAATGATGATTCTGGGAAGTGCAAGATAAGAGGAATGATAATAAGCTGAAAAGTGGGACAGGTAACCGCACGATAATGGTGTTAAGGCACCTGAAAGTTATGCATAGGCATATTCACGTAACTGTCTACAAGAATCGGCGCAAAAAATATATGACAAGTGTGCAAATGCACAATTTTTAAAATATCATGTTTAGAATTTTTTTTATCATTACTTAAAGAAACGAAATCAAAATTTATAACTGATAACAATAATGATACTGCTACTGATAATAGTAGTGATAATGCTACTAATAATACTAGTGATAATGATACTGATAATAGTAGTGATAATGCTATTAATAATATTAGTGATAATGATACTGATAATGTTACTGATAATGCTACTGATAATGCTACTGATAATGCTACTGATACTGCTACTGATAATAGTAGTGATAATGCTACTAATAATATTAGTGATAATGATACTGATAATACTAGTGATAATGCTACTGATAATGCTACTGATAATGCTACTGATAATGCTACTGATAATGCTACTGATACTGCTACTGATAATAGTAGTGATAATGCTACTAATAATATTAGTGATAATGATACTGATAATGCTACTGATAATGCTACTGATAATGCTACTGATAATGCTACTGATAATGCTACTGATAATGCTACTGATAATGCTACTGATAATGGTACTGATAATGCTACTGATAATGCTACTGTTAATGATACTGATAATGCTACTGATCATGCTACTGATAATAGTCGTGATAATGCTACTAATAATATTAGTGATAATGATACTGATAATACTAGTGATAATGCTACTGATAATGCTACTGATAATGCTACTGATACTGCTACTGATACTGCCACTGATAATAGTAGTGATAATGCTACTAATAATATTAGTGATAATGTTACTGATAATGCTACTGATAATGCTACTGATAATGCTACTGATAATGCTACTGATAATGCTACTGATACTGCTACTGATAATGCTACTGATAATGCTACTGATAATTCTACTGTTAATGATACTGATAATGCTACTGATCATGCTACTGATAATCCTACTGATAATGCTACTGATAATGCTACTAATAATGCTACTGTTGAAACTGATAATACTAAGTATAACGCTAATGATATCACTCAATTCTTATGATTTGGTAATAGCACCAAAAACCATTACAATTAGTAGCACTATCATTAGCATTAGTAGCATTAATTATTTTTAACTCGTATGATAATTATACAAATTGCTAATGATATTATTGTCGATAAAGTTAATTCTAAAATCTAAAGATTTTGATGCTATTGTACTTGACTTTGTTGCTAATTCCATTAATGACAATGCTGCTAAATCTAGTGATTTTGATGCTAGTGCAGTTGGTTTTGATGCAAATTCCAATAATACCATTGTTAGCAACAGTCGAAGCTTATAATAATTGTACAAATGCTATTAATTTTATTGCTGATGTTGTTATTGATATTAGCATCAAAATCAATTGCAGTTGCATCAAAATCATTAGTATTTGCAGCAACGTGTTTTGCATTAACAGTAACATTTTTAGCATTACCGCAGCAACTTCTATAGCATTAGCTACAACATCAGTAGCATTAGAAGTGACAGCTATTTAGTATTAACTACAAAATATTTAGCATTAGATGCAAAATCTGTAGCAGTAGGTACCAAATCTGTAGCATTGGCAATGGAATCTTTAGCATTAGCTACAAAATCCGTAGCATTATCACCAAAATCTTCAGCATTAGCATCGACATCTTTAGTATTAGCTATAACATCTGCAGTATCAGCATCTTCATATATGACGTTAGCATTCGCTGAAATTCGTATAGATAATTATCACTTTTAAGAGCATTAGCATAACTGTTAACACTGCAGTAGTTAATTAATACCATTCTTAGTAGCATTAGCGTCAACGTCTTTAACATTGGTAATTTTCATTAATGATAGCACCATTATCATTAGTATTAGCTTTAATATCAGTGGCTTTTGCACTAGTAGCATCAGTATAAGTACCAATTGCGTTTGCAAAAGTATAAGTGCCAATTGCATTACCAACAGTATAAGTATCAATTATATTAGCATTATTAGTCTATTGTAATTTTTAAATATTTTCAAGAACATCAATAGCATTAGCATCATTGGTATTAGTAATAACACCATCATTAGTAGAACAAAAATTATTATTAGTATTAACACTAATATATTTTTTCGATTATACAGCCATCGGAAAGGGGAGAATTATCATAATTATTAAAAGCATTACAAGAAATTTTACGGAACCATTAGCAATAATTATGGTTAGTATTAGGTTCAAAATCATCAAATCTTGTAGTACTGGCAATAACAGCATTGTTGGAAGTTTGTTTGGCATTATCATTAATATCGGTGGCAATATCATTCGTAACATTATCAGTAGAATAATCAGGATTATCATTAACATAATTTTACAAAAGTTAATGCTAATGACAATGGTGTCTATGAAAATTGTATTTATGGTAATGCAAATTCTGATTTTTGTTCTGATAATGTTATGAAAGATACGGCTACGGATGATACTGATACTGATAATACTGCTACTGATGATACTGCTACTATTTATACAGTTACTGATGGTACTGATTCTGATGATACTGCTACTGATTATACAGTTACTGATAGTACTGTTACTGATAATATTGCTACTAATTATACAATTACTGATGGTACTGCTACTGATAATACTGCTACTAATTATACAGTTACTGATAGTACTGCTACTGATAATACTGCTACTAATTATACAATTACTGATGGTACTGCTATTGATGGTACTGCTACTGATAATACTGCTACTAATTATATAGTTACTGATGGTACTGCTACTGATAATACTGCTACTAATAATACTGCTACTGATTATACAGTTACTGATTTTACTGTTATTGATGATACTGTTACTGATTATTTTGTTAGTGATGAAACTGTTACTGATGATACTGTTACTGATGATACTGTTACTGATACTGATAATATTGCTACTAATGCTTCTGATAATTCTACAGATATTTCTACTGATGATATTGACAATGGTCTTCGTACAAATGATTTTGATCCTAGTTTTCAGTTTGAAAATTTTGATGCTGATAATAATTATCATATTGTATTACCAGAATTATCAATAGCATTATCCAAATTATCCAAATTATTTCTTAAAAAATCGCCATTTTTGATTTTTAAACAAGTTTTTCAGCGAAACTAATTAAGGTTTTTTGTCTCAAAATCAGAGTTTAGAATTGGAAATTTATTAGACTAACTGAAAAACATTGGTCCAATATTTAGTTTTAAAAATCAAGGTACTTATGCTTAAAATAAAAAAAAAATGTTTATGTTGCCTGAAAGTAACAATTGTCCTCAAAGGGTTAACAGCATCACCTTCATTATTATCATTATCATTATATTCACTAAAAGCATCATGAATCGAACAATAGTCACATAATATAACAAATTAAACACATATTCTCCGAATTATCATCATCATCATTATCAATTTCCTTCCTCAAAAAAAAAAAAACCAATTTTTTAACAAAATTACAACCCATTTGATGAGGCATCACGATAATTTCTAATAACACTATTGTGCGCGTATAATTTTTAAATATAATAATACTCTGATAATTTCTAATAATACAGCCTTAATTTTTAATAACAATGATTATAACCACAATAATTATATCGATTCTATATATATTGGAAATAATTCGTGGGAGATGGAGAGTTTTTTTTGTGAGTGGCTGTTGTTGTTACTTCTTCTTCTTCTTCTTCTTCTTTTTTTTAAGGCGTCACATTTAAGGCCTTATGATTAGGATAATCGTCTTTCTTTGACACACGCGAGGACAAAGAGTTAGCGTTCATTTTTTTTTTTTTTGCTCAAGGCGACAATCAATCGCGTGCCGTCGGTTCAAAAAAAAAGAACGAAAAAAAACACAACAAACATGAAAAAAAAGAGAACTCGACGGAGAAAACCGTGGAAACGGTAATGATCTGCCCTAAAGTATACGAACCCTGTAATTTCCAGCCTATTCCCAGCACGAAATATCTCTTCCAAAAAAGAGTCGTGCAATTTTTTTTTTGTTCTATACATGTCTCATCTCGTTTCTTTTAAGATAATGATCATTTCTTCATTTAGCTTCATGGTTCTGGGTAAATATATAAAAAAATATTTAATAAAAATATCAGAATTTTTGTTTTTGAAATATTTTTTTATTAAGTGGATTATTTAATTCTAATTACATTTCCACTAATTCTAATTTTCTCACATATTTCCATTTCCATTTCCATTTCCACTTTTACCAATTTTAATTCTAACTTCCACATTTCATAATTTCCATTTTCATTTCCATTTCCACTTTTACCAATTTTAATTCTAACTTCCACATTTCATAATTTCCATTTCCAGTTTTTTAAATTTCCATTGATACTTCCATTTCCACTTCAAATTTTCCCGATTTTCACTTCCACATTCATTTCGACTTTTTCTAATTTCCTTTTTCACTTTAATTTCCATTTCCGCTATACCTCTTTTTCTAATTTCCACTTCTATTTTCCCTTCCACCTTTTCCAATATTTATTTCCACATTTATTTCCATTTTCGTAACAACCATTCCTCTTTTTTTTAATTTCTAATCCTACTTCAACTTATATACTTTTTCTAATTTCATCCCCTACTTCCATTTCCATCTTTTCCTATTTCCATTCTCATCTTTCACTTCTTTTTCCACTTTTCTGATTTCTATTTTTTACTTCCATTTCCATCCCTACTTTCTTTCGATTTCCCTTTACATTTTCATTTCCGCTTTTTTCAATTTTCTCTCGAATTTAAAAAATTAACCAATCAGAAATTATTAATAAAATTATGTAAAGGGGAAATTGGATAAAATGGAAATCGAATTTAAATTGCAAAAAGTTAAATGGTAGTGGAAATGGAAATTGGAAAAGTGAAAATTGTAATGAAAGTGGGAATAAATGGTAAAATGGAAATTACAAAAGATGGAAATTAAAATGAACGTAGAAATAGAAATTAAAAATGAGAATTAAAAATGGAAATAGACATTAGAAGGAGATGAAGTGGGATTGAAAATTGGTAAATGTGGAAGTGAAAATTGGAAGTGGGAGAGAAAATTATAAAAAGTTAAAAGGGTAGTGGAATTGGAAATTTGATAAAGTGGAAGTGAGAATGGAAATTCGAAATAGTGATAATGGAAATGGAATTGAAAATTAGAAAATGTGTAAGTGGAAATTGGAAATAGTAGAAGTGGAATTGGAAATAAAAAAAGTGGAAATGGAAATTGAAATTGGAAAAAATGAAAGTGGAAATAGAAGTGGATATGGAAGTAGATTTAGATAATTGATCCCTTTGGGGGTTGATAGTGAAATTCCACTTTCACTTCCTCTTCCACTTTATCTAATTTTCATTTCCACTTCCATTTCTACTTCCACTTTTCCATTTCCACTTCCAATTTTTTCTCATTTCCACTTTCATTTCAACTTCTACTTTTCTAATTTTCATTTCCAATTTTTTTCATTTTCACTTCCACCTCCATTTCCATTTTTTTCATTAATTACTCCCACTTTCATTTCCACTTCTTCTAATTATTATTCCCACTTCCATTTTTACTTCCACTTTATCTCATTTCCACTATTTCCATTATATAAAGTGGGAGTGAAAATGAAAATCGGAATAATAATTATAAAAAGTGGAAATGGGAGTGGAAATTATAAAAAGTAGAAGTAGAAGTGAAAACGGAAATGAAAGTGGGAATAAAAATTAGAAATAGTGAAAGTGGAAATGTGAGTAAAAGTGAAAATGGAAGTGGGAGTAATAATTATAAAAGGTGGAAATGGAAGTAGTAGTGGAAATGTAAAAAAGTGGAAGTGGAAATGGAAGTAGGAATGAAAATTAGAAAAATTGGAAGTAGAAATGGAAGTGGGAGTGTAAATGAGAGAAAATGGAAGTGAAAATGGAAGTGAAAGTAGGAATAAAAATTAGAAAAATTGGAAATGAAAGTGGGAATGAAAATTAGAAAAATTTGAAGTGGAAATGAGAAAAAGTGGAAGTGGAAATGGAAGTAGGAATGAAAACTAGAAAAAGTGGAAGTAGA